CACTGTTGCACTTTTGCCCATTTCCCAAAATCTTTTAATTTTACCATCTCAAATTTAAGGAACTGGCCAATCTTTGTAACTAGCGCACACATAATGGAATCATTTCAGCTTAGCAAGGCCTTGTATGTGTGCGTGTGTTTGTGTTTCATGTAAAAATTTTTGGTATTATTCAAACTCTTTCATTTATCTGTTTGTGTTGGATCTTCATGCAAAACTAAGATGCAAAACTCCCTCATCTTACCACCATGAATTTTTTAGATTGGAACAAGCTTGATTGAACATATGATTGATTGTTCATTTGTTATATGTTTAGTTTACATTCCTTTCACATATTCCTATTTACTTGAAGGATATTATGTTGAGTCATATATCAAATAGTCATGTTTTTTATGTGTAGAGTAATTCTTAGTATTTGTGCTCAAAATTTTATATTCTTTTTTCTTTGTATCATCATTGCTTGTATAGTCATTTCTATCTTTGGTGCAGTGAATTGATTAGCACAGTTTGTACTGTTGAGCTATCCATTTATATTGAGCTTATAAGTTTGAATGCTCACTTGTTTGTTTGAATGCACCTACATCTTAAACACTTGTTTGGTTGTCACAAAAAGCTATCAGGTTTACAACCTACAAATAACAAATTATCAAAGAAAAAGTCTAATGAACTCAATAACTATCAGTTTCAACCAAAAGAAGAAAGCAAGTGGGTATGAAAATAGTAAAGTATAAAACAAAGAAGACTCATTATTGATGATTAGAATATGTATTTGCATTGAAACATTTATGGGGAGTTACAAACAATTCTACTTTTAAGAAATGAAATGTTGTGGAAGAATTGTTTAGTTGAGCTAATGAAATTCATCTTGAAGAAGAAATAATATGATGGAAATACATACAGAAGAGAGACAACTAGAGCACTATTGCTTTAATGTGGAAAAGGAGTAGAATAATATCATCAACAATAATAATAAAAGGCTTGTTAATCCAAGAGGCTCCGAACATACAAGAAAATATGAAAAATTTCATGCATGGAAATATTTTCTGAATGAGAAAATAAAAAGACAGAAGAATAAGGAAAATTTCATGAACTTCAAAGCTATATCAAAGGCTAAATAGAAAAAAGAGATGGGAAGAAAAACTAAAACAATATCAAATGCAAAGTGTGAGATTCCTTAAATTAGTAGCCATGCATATTAGAGTGGGAAGGTTCCTTCAACGCAAATAGGATTGCTTGGCGTTATTTTAAATTTGTAACAAGATGACTAAGTTATCATTTTTTCAAGGAGCGTTGATTTTGTTTTGGTTATCTAAAATTAATGACTAATTATGATTTATTTTACTTACTTTTAAAAAGGATCTTAATCTTATAAAATAATAATTTTCATTATGTATTTTAAATTCATTCTAAAAAGGTGAATGTAAAAAAGTTCCACTCCAATTTATCCTCTCTTCCTCTGCCTAGCTGGCCAAATACTCTCCTCCATTCAAAATTTGGCCAAGGTGATCTCTCTCTCTCTAGAATCAACCTCAATATCTTCTCTCTCTCATAGCCACCATCCACTCTAATCCTTTCTCTATAGCATTCACTCTTTATTTCTTTCTCTCTTTTTTTAAACCAGGTTTTGTGTTAGAAGGGGAGAATAATTTTGGGTGCTAAAAGGAAGACGTCAATGAAGGAAGGATCATCAACCAATTAAGGGAAGGAGATGAATAAGGAGGGCAGAAATTAAGGAGCAATAGAAGAAATTAAAGGAATAAGATTGAAGGGCTTCAATCAAAGAAAATTTGTTTTAGCATGGCTCTATAAATCTAGTTGTTTCATACTTTCAATTTAGATATCTCATTAGTGCATGTCCTCTTGATTCCAAACAAATTCCTTTTGTTATCCCACTGGCTCATAAAAGGCCAGCCTAATTGGGGTTTTCTATTGTAAAGACTTTTTATCAATCCTACTTATATAAAAAATATATATTTAATATTTTCATTTTTTTATAATGTTTTAAAGTTCAAGACTAGACTGATAATTTTGATCCAAGGACTATAAACAATCATTGTATCTAATCTTGGAAAAGAACAATTGCCAGTAATCATGCATACTTAGTATTAGGGTGCAAATTCTTAACTTGTAGGTTATAAAGTTGAAAAAAAGGTGAAAATAAGAGCAATCCATTTCAAACCAATTGAGGCTATTGAATCCAATCGTTACATATGGACAAGTTCTAATGGATAACCATAAGATTTTGAAAATAGTTTTAAAAAATAAATAGCCTTAAAATTAACCTTATTCATTAGATAAATCTTTATAGGACACCAATCCCTCCAAAAGAAAAAAAGAAGTTTCCACTACATGATCCTCATGGAAAGAGAACTATTTCTAGATGAGGAGGGGTCAATAAGAGAAAGGGAACACTATATAAACATTCTTTGAGCATAATTTCCTATTTACATGTATAACAATATGTAAGATATTTCTATTGCTCAATTGAAAATGTCTTCACATGCACACATACTGTAGAATGTTGAATCCCAAAATAATATATCACAACTAACATGGTATATAGTCTATAGTATTACTTTGGTGTTAAATATGTGCCCATTGGCTACAAGGGGAGTGATTTCAATAACAAAAATTAAGACAAAAGTGCAAGCAATTTAGGCAAGGCTATAACATTGAATTTCATAGTCAAACAAAAAAATTAACAACCTCTACAATACTATACTAATAAATTTCATTAATGGGCCAATGCCTTTGGAATCTCCACATAGAAAAAATTAAGTAATTTTATGAAGTATATAGTATGCAAAGAGAATTAAAATTATTCAACAAAAATGTTCAAAATAATTGCCTTTGATCAGAGAATTAAGCTAAAAACATTAGCAAACATTGATAAATCTCCCAAAATGGTAAGCTAAAAGATTAGAAGTTAGTAGAGGAGAACAAGTAGAAGCAAAGACTACTCTCATTTCAAGCTCAAACTAGAATCATTAAATATTGTATCCTGAGAAAATACCTAAGCGAGAGGAGGTCAAGGTGACTCTCACTACCAAAATGGAAGAAGTAGCGGAGTTATCAAAATGAAGAAGGGTGAAGCCCTTTCATTGATGATCTATAAAAATGATAAGAAAAGGTATAGCTCTTTCATCTTAATATCTGTTAAAATAGTTTAATTATCAATATGATTATTAATTTTGATAATGACAGTAACTTGATATTTATAGACATAGTTAAGAAATTAGGGTTATACGCTACTCCATGCCTAAATCATTAAGTTTTGGAATAGATTAGGAAGGATACATAGTTTTGAGTGACAAAACAACATATGGTGAGGTTCACAATTAGTCAATAATATATTAGTGTTTTAGCTTGTAATGTAGCTCTTGCAAGTAATTCTAATACACATACACACACAAGAGATTTTGGATGAAATAACGTGAGTTATTTGCTACCCCCAATGATGAAATCAAAAGAGTACTCATTCAAAGTAAAATTAAGAACAAAATGCCTTCAAGGGGGGAAAATGCAATGCAAAAAGGGTGTGATCGATGCGGAGTTTAAAATTACAGCTGAGTTATTTGCGAGATAAAGTGCCCACCACAACTTTCATTATAATTTATTCTTTACTATTTTGATTATTGTAAGAATATCCCTTAGTTATGGAACGACCTAGTTGATGTGTTATAGCTTTCGCTTTAATGGTTGTATGTCACAGCTTCTATAATAGTTCTATGATATGCTACATTCTTTTATTTTACACTTGCATAAACAACTATATTATCCATAGTTATAACAAAGCTACATTTGATTTATGTTTGAACCATAATTAATTTCTATTTGATCATTTTAATGTGATTTCAAATAAGATTCAAAGAGTCTTCTGAAAAACTTCAAACATTGCTCAAACAAACTATATAAATCTTATAATAAACTTATTTATCTAATTTCACCTATTATATGACATACATAGTCAAATTTGTAAAATAAAATTTAATTGAATTGAATAGAGGTGATATTAAACATTACGTGGATACCCAAATATAAATTGTATCATCCCTTGAAATCCTTGGATTAGCATTCAGATGAGTTTTGCATATAAATGCACTATTTTAGAGTAAATTCACCAATGTTAAGCTTATACTGAAATAGTATATATATTCTTTTAAAAATAATATTGTTGAGCAGATAAAATTGTAAATTAACTATTTAAAATTTATATTATTTATGACAAGACCTGATCTGCACTCCATCCATTAATACACAAATTCAAAAGAGATAAATAATAATGAGCTCGTGCTTGTAGCTTAGATGCGACGAAATTTCTCTCGGTGGCTCATGTTCGAGAACTTTTATTTGGTCCGGTCACATGACATAGTTTTACGTTCGGCCGCCAGTAGAATCGCGCCACGAGTTCTCATTATTTACCGCGCGCCCCGACAACCCGACCCGGAACGAACCCAGGATGGCTATATATTTCTCGATTTTGCTAGGTATTGGTCAATTTTGCTTGGCAATAACCAATACCGAGCGAATACCAAGCAATACCGAGCAAATACCAAGTAATACCGAGCAATACCGAGTTGTACCGAGTTTTTCTAAAAAACTCGGTACAACTCGGTATTGCTCGGTATTGATCTTCACAGAGTGATATTTCTCATTATTGCCAAGCAATACCGAGCAAATACCGAGTAATACCTCGCAATACGCGAACATAGCATTCCCGGGTTCCGGTCCTGGTCAAGTCGTCGGGTCGCACGGTAAAGAGTAAGAGCACATGGTGACATGTTATTGGTGGCCGAACGTAGCTCTACACCCGGTCAGAGGACGTAATAATTGTTCCATGTTCGAAACCCTAACATTTCAAAAAAAAAAAAATAATAATAATAAAGGAAAAACCCTTGTTCACTTGATCATTATTTATTAATATTCTTAAATAAATAATTAATAATCCACACTAATACAAATATTTAAATTAATATTACTTGATTAACGTTTACTAGGGCGGTAATTCCTGTGCTGCTGCTTCTCGACGTTCGGCTATCTTCCCGCGGAGGCCACTTCATTCACGAAGTTCTGAAGCGACGAGGAAATAGTGAAAGCTTCCACGCCTCTCTTTGCTTCTCAACAGGTCTAATAGCATTATTTACAATTTTACACTGTTCGTTAGAATTGATGCTCTGTACAATGGAGGCGGTTGGGAAATGAGATGAAAACATTTGGTAGGTATTTCTGAATTCGCCTAACATATCTTACCTGAATTGATGTATACTTTTCTTGGATTGTTTATTAACTGGTTTTATTTATTTTTTGTCATATTGAGATTAGGCTTTTGATATTTGGAAGTTCTCAGCGTGATTAATTCAAGATTTCTAGCGTTTGCTAGCATTTGCTGAAAGCTCATGCGGTATTTAAGACTTTAACTGCATCATCTGTCCTTTAATATTATGGTTCCTTTTAGATAGAGTTCGCTTTAGAATTTGTTTCTTTTTTTTTTTTCTTTTTTTTTGGGACATTTAGGCCAATGAAGGCAAACTCACACACACAACGCATACACAAAGACTCGAACCCAAAAACTCTTAGTTGGAAGCATAAGGGCATCTCCAACCGAAAAACTCATTTTTCACTCCAAAATGCAGTAATACACCAAAATGCAGTAACTTGTCTCCAACCGAACTCTATTTTCTAACACCAAAAAAAGAATATTCCTAGTATATTCTTCTCCATATTTCATTTTACATATTTTTAATCAACCAACAGGCCAAGGTGCTTGAACGGCCATATTTCTTTCTCTTTTTTCGTGCCATTTTGATGAGTATGTGGGCTGGTTGGAGTGGTTATGAGCTGATTCTTCATTGGGGTGCATAGTTACAGCCTTGATGATAAGGTGCATTTGCACAAACATGGACCAATCACATGCTAAATAATGGCTCTGTTGAATAAACTTTCTTAGATTGACAGCATTGCCTTGATTCAATCCATCTCATTAATATGGTTATTGTTGTTGCTTGAAGTCATTCCCCGCTTGTTTAGTTCATTGTATGCATTTTTCTTTGGGTTTTCCCTAACGTCAAATTGTAGTAGATATCATTTTTTTTGGAGTTATTTAGGCAACACGCCACATGAATTGATTAATTTATAATGCATCCAAGAAGTTACTGTTATTTTCCTCAAAGTCTAAACTATTATGTCTTACTTTACACCAATCTGCAATCATGATTAGCACACAACTAGGAGGACCTCGCCGTGATCACCAAGAGTTAAAGAGCAGAGGGAGAAGGTGTGGAATAACAGACTGCTTCATAGTAGACGAATTTTTTTAGCTCAAAATGCTATTAGCTCTTCAAATAAAAATTAGGCCTTTATATATTTAAGAGCCTTGGCATAGCTACAAATAAGACCCTATGAAGATCAAAATGATAAAACAACCTAAGACTAGGTAAATATGTATTGTCTCATATACCGTCCAATAGTTTAGCCACTATAAGAAAAGCAAGGATTTCCGGCGGATTTTCCTACGGAATAATCTTCATTGAAAATGGCAACGAATTTGCAGCGGAAATTTTCGTAGGAAATTTTAGTGACTTTTCCAGCAAATCTACAGCAAGTTGACCTTGTCTAACCGATTCATTCTCCTTCTGTTTCATTTGCTTTCTCTCTTCTTCGACTTCCCTCTCCGCTCTTTGTTTCCTCTTCGACTTCGCTGCCCTTCCCGGCCTGTTCATTGCTCTTTGACTTCACCCCCATCAATTCATAGCTCAAACTCCTCGCCTTAGCCTCCGCAGATTCATCACCTTTGCCTCTCTCGATTGTTCATCTTTGACTTAGCCCACGCATACACGCATATTAACCTGTATACATATAAGAATATACTCTCAGATGGACCCCGACGAGCATGTTATGGGTATACATGTGACGTATGAGGATGCTGTGTGGGTCAAATGCTAAATCTAAATTCGAGCCCGATCCTTCAAGGCTTATAAATGATGAAAATTCACCAATAAAGGTCTGAAGCCCACAACGAATCTGATCCTTTGTTAGCAAATGGACAGAGTCGATAAGGTTCAATCCTTAAATTAAGCGTCTCATAAAACCACCCCGATAATGACCGAGTTGAATGTAGATCTCAACCAGAGGGGTTAATTCAAAATATTCAAAACGTTACCAAAATGCCCATAAAACCCAAAATTCCATGAAAATATCAAATCTGAAATATTTAAATGTCGAAATTAACCATTAAAACGTTTAAAGCAAAGCCCATCGAGCCTCCATAATAGTTTGCCAATGTGGACAAATACAAATATCACTTCAGCTCACAAAGAGCTAATGTCTGGTTGAGAATATCACTAGGATTCATTCTCAAAATGTCTCTTGCCAGCAAGGACATGACACATGTGCGATTTTGTCACCAAATGTCATCATAGGTAAATGGTTATGACCGGAGTCCTCTGAACCGGGTGATTTGCCGTCAATGACACCACTAAATTGCGATTATGACCAGAGCCCCTATGCTCCTCTATGGCACTAAATTCTTGAGATATGAATTAATAGGATATAATCGATAAGGCACAAAGCCCTCTATCAGTTAAAGTGGGTTCAAATTTGTCCCTTTAGGAAAATATTCACCCTAGATCTACAAGATGCCCATGGACGAAGCAATCCATAACTGCCGACAATGATCCTTCTGACAGGTTGGGTCAACTACCTCCTCTGACTAAGTAGACCAGGACCATGATGGCCCAGGACGATGGAATCATGAGATTTTGATTGAGCTCATAATCACTCCCCCACACTATCCTTTTTAAGTGCAAGATGGTGAAATTTTCAATTTTAAATATCAAATTTTCAAACATCTAAACCCATACTATACACAAGATAATACGTATCTCTGCGTATCTGTTTGAAGAATAACCTTAATCAAAAGTTCTCTCTCGTTATCGGGAGGCGTAATTAACTATAGGGCTTGTGCTTATAGAAAACAAGAACTTAGATCATAAATTTCTCGCAAAATGAGGGCAAAATCTCTGGATAGTGTCTTATTTCAAACCCAATCTGCTTTCTGAAAATTTACGCCGGAGCTTAAAGCATTAGAACTCCCCCAAAAGAGGGGAGGCCGGGGCGCGAATTTTTGGAGCCCACATCGCCATTAATTTTAAAGGGCTCATAGGTCATCCATAAGCTTGCATGAACAGTTATCTTTGAAAAATGGCTCAAATCTTTATGCAGGTCTTTGATTTGTGATATTGCCCTTGATATTTATCTTGGTGCTGCATATGAGGGTTATTGAGTTAAGGCAAAACCATAAACAAGGCTGAGAGTCAAAGAGGGAAACCAGAGAGAGGGAAAAACAGGAAGAAAATAATGAAGAAGGTGCTCATTCTTTAGGTGAGCTACTCTCAAAAAATCATTGAACTTTAATCCTACTAACTTGAAGATCCGATTATAGCAAACTCTTTTTCTCGCAATGACTGTTTGATTAGAAGTCTGATGACAACTTTTGAGTTTCTATTGAATGAGGGTGGACAGAATCATTTCTAGGATTGTTGGCAGGCTTAAATTCTTTGGCCTCTCCCCATAGAGAAAAAAAGTGCTACCACAGCCGCTCAAACCATCGACGAGGAAGAGACCAATTAAAGTTATTTGTTCTGTTAATGCTTCATGCAGCCAAAGAATGAAGGAGATGAAAGGTGAAATTCAAGACACAAAGCAAAATAAAGGGGATAAAAATAGATTATAAATAGAAAATTCTAATTAAAAATAATAATTTGAAAACAGCCTCAAGAACAAATCTAATGTGTATGCCTTCTTTTGTAATTCTACAATTACAAAAGTTCTTGAAAATAATTAAACTAATTAAAAATTGTTAGAAATTTGAATAAAAGAGTTAAGGCTCAACAGGCAAAATGCATTGAACATCTATAGAATTTTGATGTTCAGTTTTACTCTAGTTTCTGTGAGCATCGTTGAGCTTGTTACCCCGGCTTATGTACCAAGATGTTAGGGGTGTTGTTGACATTGACTAACTTATGTACAAGAAGATAGTGTAGTTTCGTGCCTTGAGTTTTAATTGAACTTTGCTGATAGATTTTTGAATATATATAACTAGTTCTTTTATACCTTTTCTTCAATCTGCTGAGACTAACAATGCCTTTTTCATATTTTATAGATTAAGGAAATCTATTCAAGAAGTACCTTGGAAATATTTGTGACAATATGTTCCGAATATTTGCAGGTTAGGCCTTTTCCTTTTGCATTCTAGCTGTTCTTTTTCCTTATGGTTTGCAATTTGGCATGGTTGATCTAGAATTTAGCAATATTTGTGTTATTTCCAATAAATTTCTATCATCCAGAGGTGAAGATTTTCTTGATGATTACTGTAGAATGTCTTGGAACATTTTCTTTTAGGTATCTCTATATTACTCCTTTCTCCCTCCTCACATCATTCCTTTGTGATTACCAATATGTCTATTGTCAGTTGCTTGCAGATACCCATATAAATATTATAAATATTTCCTGAGCACGTGAACTCTAGTGAAGCCTGTGTATAGGGATCTTATAATGAAAAAGTAGTAATGGAAACATATGTCAAATGTACTCATAAATTCTGCTGGTAGCAGGTAGAGGACATTTGATAAAGAACTAACTGTTTGTGATTACCATGCTTGTGAGTAACTAGGTGCATTAGAAAATTTTGCTATATGCCATCAGTACGGATGAATGATTTGTATAGCTAATATCGCATCATATGACTCTATAAATCTTATTCTTTTGTGCCAAAATTTTTCAGCAGGATTCATCCCACAAACAACCATTAGATGGTTGATTTTATATATTTCTAAACTATGCAAAATTTATTCATATATGTGTGTGCTTCAAAAATTTGCATCCCGGCCTCTCCGCACCATCTTTTATTGATGGGGAGAGTTTTAAAGTATTTAGGTTCTAGGGTAAATTTTTAGAAGGGAGATTGGATTTTAGATTAGGAATTACCCAAAGATTTCTCCCTCATTTTGCAAGGTTTTTATTATTTGAGTTCTGGTTTCCTATAGTCACAAACCCCTATAGTTAATTACCCTCCAGATAACGAGAGAGAACTTTCGATTAAGGCTAGTCATTAAATATGTTTCAATAATTACCTAACATATAATAGCAACAATTTTAAGGTTTGAATTTGGTTTTGAATTTTAGAGTTTATGATTTGAATTTATCAGTATATACTTAAAACAGGTGATGGAGGGAATGATGATGGGCCTAATTAAGATCATGCTAGGCTGTCATAGTCCCTGGTTTCCTTAGTCAAAGGAGTTAATTGACTCAACCTGACAGAATGAACCTTGTTGACAACCATTGGTTGTTTAGTCCAAGAATACCTTGTTGACCTATGGTGGATTTTTATTTAAAGTGATGAATTGAAGTCAACCTTAGTTAACAAAGGTATATTATAGAGTGTTTCTTATAATTCATTACTTAAGGGGCTTTTAACCATTAGGGAATATACAGACTTTGACCATGACCATTATATAGTGATGTCATTTTGCAATAAAATCCCTCGATTAAAGGGCATGTGCTATGTTCTTGCTGGCGGTGAATCAATTGAGAATGAATTTTAGTAATACATTCTATAAGACATTTGCTCTTTGTGAGCTGAAGTTATTCTCCAATTCATCATCCTCACCAAGTCGTTGCAACGGGTGAATGGATTTTGGTTTTAAGTTTTTGATGATAATATTTCCATTTAAATGTTTAGAATTGATTAGACTTTGAATTATGAAAATTTAATAGGTTTAATAATTGACCCCTCCGGTTGAGATTTACTGCAACAAGGCCATCTTCGGGGTGATGACGAATCAATTTAAAAGATTTATATTTTTCTTTGAGGTTTGAGTATTTTGAAAATAGGGGCTCCTCCAGTTGAGATTTTCTGTCAACACGGCCATCATTAGGGTGATGATGAATCAATTTAAATATATTTGTAATTTGCATTGGATTTTAGTATTTTGAAAGATAGGGTCTTCTCCGGTTGAGATTCTCTATTAACACAGTCATCATCGGGGTCATTTTGCAATTTTAGTGGATATGTGAAGCCTTCTTAGATCCTGCATTTAGGAGCTTGAGATAAAGATTGGAGCACATGCGGGATAATGCTTATGAAAAATATACTGTTGCAAGACATCGAACAACAATTACAGGCCAAATGTTCTGTCTCATATGTTTTCTGAACTTGGAATGTGAAATTTATATTTAACCCTGCCCACATAAACGCATTCTTCATTCTATCAATCAAGTTCATGTCAGTACTAGATTGCTTATTATTCCAACCATCCCAGTAGTTACTCTCGAGATAGGTGAGGTTAGACGTTGCTACAATGACAACTGTACCAAAGGAGATAAACTGCTATAGTTTTGCGGGAAGGGGTAGGACAATCCATATAAATCATTAAGAGGTAAGAAATTTCCCATTACAGGGTCATAAATTTTCATTTTCTGATGAAAGGCAAGCCGCTTGACAAGTAGTAGATGTATCAGGTCACCCTCAGATCTGAACCGTTCAGGAAAAGCAAAATCTAAACCATTGTTAAAATTTGTTCCAAGTGGCATATGCCCTTTACCAACAACCAATATTGTTGGGTCAATAATTTCCACATCAACAGAATTTTTGTTGGATGAACTTCATATTGATTCCTAAAATGAGGTGAGCAGGCTCTCTGAATGATGTCAACAGAGCCTAATTGTTTAATATCCATAATGGCTGGAGAAATATCTTCAGTCCCCTCTTCAGTAGATTCAAAACCCATCTTTGGTAACTAAATTCAATTTGAATGTGGATACTGCATCTATGTGATGGGGAGAAATATCAGTAGATTATACCAGAACAACAACAACAACAACATCAAGCCTTTGTCCATTTGTCTCACTACGTGGGGTCGACTACATGAATCTTTTTTTGTCATTTTGTCCTATTAAAAGTCAAATTCTCATTTAAATCTAATGAAGAAAGATCATTTCTAATATTTTTTAACCAAGTCTTTTTAAATCTACCTCTATCTTTCTTAAATATGAGCAGATTATAGTGCCTAAAATTGAATGGCTTTGGTATATTTCCACTGGCTGATCATATGGATAGCTCAGATGTTTAGCATGAGATGGGTAATCCATCCATCTATAATCCCAATCAGATATCCTAGTCCTGGGGCATTTAGGTCTAGAAGAAATGTTTCTGATGTTTGGTGATTTAATAGCCTAATCTTTACCACTCGATATAAAATACCAACTCTCTTTGGCTTGTTGACGAGTTTAAAATTAAAGGAGAAAAAAAAAAAAGAAAAAAAAAAAAGAGGGGGGAGGGTGGTATGCTGTTGTTTCTCAGATTGGAGAAGCTCATGATTTATTCAATCAGATGCCAACCGATATGAAGGATCTCACCACCTTTAATTTGATTATTGATATTTGCATGAAAAGCTCAAGGTTTGAAGAAATTCTGAATCTCTTTAATAAGATTTTTCGATTAAAAATCAAATGTGGTTTTTGTACAACTTGTATTCAAGAGAACGAAGGTGGGAAGACGCAGTTAGGATTCATAAGCAAATGAATATCTACGGAATGGAGAAAGTCCCTAGTTGCAGTTCTGTTAAAGTTGGAAGTGCAGTTAATGAATTTAGGGTGAAGAGGGAATTTAATAGTATCGATGAAATGGAAGAATCGTAGGATATTTCTTGATCAGTTCATTGCCTGAAATATATAATATTTGAGCATTACATTGTTCATGACAATATTTTCCCATGGCACACTTAGAGCAATATCTAAAATGGTAGCTGCTAAAGAAATGGTAATCTATTGAGTTTTAAATAATTTCATATTTCTGTGGTATCACTGCATGAATATTATAAGAATTATAAAATGTAAATAAAGTTGAAAATTTGTCTAAAGCACCATTGATAAAGACGTGTTGCGTCCAGGAATATTCGCGACGATAGAGAAAAATAAAGTTTAGCTTCTTAGCATTGTACGAAGATCCAGCACGCAAGCAGAAAGAGAGAGATTGAGACACCCGGTCTTTTTTACATGGAAAACTCGAAGAGGGAAAAACCACGGGGCCTCGCCCAGGTGAAAAGATTCCACTAAACTTGAGTGAATTACAAGGGTTGACCCTTCCCTCGATTTAGAGGTGGTCAGATTACATTAATTTGAAGAGCTAGTCAAAGGACCGATGACGGTCGGATAAAAATCCGACGGGTTTTGTGCAAAAGTTTGGCTAACAAGGAACGATTCGATGAAGGTCTGACGGTGAACGACGGCCAGGCGGTGGCCCGGCGATGGCCGGGCTGAAGTCCAACGGCGGCCGGACGGTGGTTAGGCGATGGTCGGCGGCCGGGCGGTGGTCCGACGAAGGTCAGGCAGCAGTCCGGTGGCGGCCGGGCGGTAGTCCGGCAGTGGTCGGAGTCCGGGCGGTGGTCCGACAAAGATCGGGCTGAAGTCCGGCGGCGGTAGGCAGCCGGGCTGAAGTCCGACGACTGTCGGCGACCGAGTGCTAGAGCTCTTGAAGCTTCAGAGCTCTCCCTAATCTCCAGCCAAGGTCCCCCTCATGTAGAGAGTGGGGGTCTATTTATAAATTGTCATGAGTGGCACACCCGTAAATTTAGAGAAGATCCGGAGTTGGTTCGGAGTGCTACATCGGATGGCTCATATTGATTCCCCCGATCGTATTAGAGTTTTTCAACTGTTTAAGTGCCTTAACAGTGTCGGAATTCAGAGATATTGGGCTCGTTGGATTCGTCTCGCCGAGACGCTCAATTTGACTATAAGCATGCCATATTTTGATATCATTTCATTATCCAAATAATGCTTTAACCCTTCCAAATGTAGTCCGGACCCCCGATTCAGACCCATTTGGGCTTGGGTTGGACCAATTTTGGTGCTATTTGGTTCGTCCTTTTGAGATGTTCAATTTGACTATAAGTTTGCTGAAATTGGAATTCAGATGATCCCAAATTTAATTTTGAAAGTTTTCAACTTGAATATGCCTCGAGATCATGCTCGATCAAGACAATTTTTGATGACGTATCAAGACGCATCTCTTCAAGCTCTCAATTCAGCCCCACTCTAAGCAATTGATTATCAAAAGACGCAACTTATGGTCACAGTAACTTCCTTCTCAGCAATTCAATCGATAAAACGAAGGGTAGAGAATAAAAAAGGGGAGAACTGGCACTTACAATTCCCTTCTCTCACACTATCTGAAGTCGGTTGCCTCTTGTTCGTGAAACCGTCGCACGTCTACGATTCCCGCGATCGAACTTGTCTTTCCGACGGATTGGCTTGCCTGCGACCTCAAGTCGTCTGTTCTGTTTGCAAGCACCTATTCGATCGAATATGTACAACATGTATTGATTAATCTAATATGCACG